AGAAGCCTAAGTATTTGGCGGACCAGGTTTATATACTACCACCCTCTCTGTTGGTTCTCTACATTCTGCAGTAATGTCCGTTCAGTCCAGCGGACACTTATTTCATGGATGCAGAGGATGAGGAGGAGGAGGAGGAGGAGGAGGATGTGGTGAAGGAGGATGAGGAGTTGGTGGTGGAGGAGGAAGTGACAGGAGGGGGGAAAGAGTAGACCTGCACATGGCGCGCGAGTGGACATAGTTTGTCTTGCACCATGCAAGTCCTCGTCGCATACCTCCAGCCTCCTCCCATTCCTGCATGTCGTTTGACCGCAAGCGCAGGGCATCAGCTCCTTGTCACCTTGTAGAGGCGCAGGAGCCCCGCGTAGTCTCCCTCGGGGTCGTAGAATCGCTGGCGAGCTGCTGTCGCAACCTGCAACGCGATTAGAGACGAGGAGGGGGCGGAGGAGCAGGAGGAAGACGAGGAGGAGGGGGAAGGAGGAGGAGGAGGAAAACGAGGAGGAGGGGGAAGGAGGAGGAGGAGGAAGACGAGGAGGAGGGGGAACGAGGAGGAGGAGGGGGAACGAGGAGGAGGAGGGGGAACGAGGAGGAGGGGGAAGGAGGAGGGAAGAAAATGAGCAGACCAGCTGCTCCTCCTTCATGGTTGGGCGGTAGAAGACGTTGGCTCCGTCAACAGCAAGCATGGCAACCACAGTTACCTACAGCAAAAGTTAGAACCATGAAGGAGAGGAGGAGCAAGAGACCATCTCGTCGGCACACTTGTGGAGGATGGAGGCGAGCAGCATGCGACTGAGACTCGGCTCGAGGGGGAACAGCGCCATGTCTCTCCCTACCTTGGTCATCTTCCCTGCGGCAAGATCAGCGGCCTGCCCGCAGGCAAGGAAGGAACAAGACCGTCAGCGTCGATAGCCCCCAGCAGGTAGAGCATGCGGAGACCGGAGACGATCTTGTCAGCGTCTGGGGGATCCATGTAGTCAAAGTTGACAGGGTCGTCAATTTCCATCCCCTTGAGGATCAGAATCGTCGACGAGAGGTTTGTCCTCAGAATCTCCGCCATCGTCTCTTCCGGGAATTCCTTCATCATCTTCTTCTCGCTATAGAGGCGGATGCAAACTCCCGGCCCCGTCCTCCCCGCACGCCCTGATCGCTGCTTGGCTGCTGGTTTGGAGACAGGGACGATGTTGAGAGACTCCATGCCGCTCTCGGCGTTGAAGATCTTCTGCTTCACTGCGCCGCAGTCGATGACAAACTTGATGCCCGGGACGGTGATGGAAGTCTCCGCAATGTTGGTGGCCACCACCAGCTTCCTAGTCCCCTCAGGCGGCTCATCGAACACGCGCTGGTAGAACTCGACAGGGAGGGAGGCGTGGAGGGGGCAGATCCTCATAGCGCAGACCTCCTCCCCGTCCGCCTGTCTCTGGATGATGCGACGGTGAATACCCTGACAGGCTCGATTGATCTCGTCCTCGCCCGTGAGGAACACGAGGATGTGATGCTGGGGAGGCTGCTCGGCATGCAGGTGATCCACAAGCTCCATGACCTTGTCGACGTACCTCTGGCAGTCGATGTGTTGGATCTCCACAGGGAAAGTTCGTCCGGGGATGTCGATCATGGGGCAGTTGAAGAAGTAGTCGGAGAACTTGGTCGTGTTGAGCGTCGCACTGCAGACGAGGAGGCGGAACTCGGGCCGGTTCTTGCAAACCTCCTTCATGAGAGCAAACAACACGTCTGTGTGTAGCGATCGCTCGTGCGCCTCGTCAAGCATAACCACCGAGTAGTCTTTCATGAATCGATCGCCGAGACACTCTCGGAGCATGATGCCATCTGTCAGATACTTGATGGCTGTCAGCGGACTCGTCACGTCTTCGAATCGGATCGCGTATCCCACGTCCTCCCCGCACTCGCAGTCGACCTCCTCAGCCACTCGTCGAGCCACAGAGACGGCTGCGACCCTCCTAGGCTGCGTCACTCCGATCCGTCCTGTCCACCCGCATTCGGCCGCGAGGTACTGGGGGATCTGAGTAGTTTTCCCCGAGCCCGTCTCGCCGGTCAGCACAATCACTTGGTTATTCTTCACCATGTCCACAATCGTCTTCCTGTATTCCAGAACAGGGAGCTGCGCCCAGTCAGAGTCTTGCCTCTCCGCCAGCTTAGGGAGCAAGGGCTTGCTTGGGTCCCACGATCTCGGCGCTCGGTCCTCGACCTTCACTTTAGATGGCTTACCATCAGATGATTCATCCTCCTTTTTCACCCGCACAGGGAAACCCTGACGGCCCCTGCTTCGGCTACGTCGCCTGTCTCTACTCCTGCTCCTGCTCCTGCTCCTGCTCCTGCTCCTGCTCCTGCTCCTGCTCCTGCTCCATCGTCTCCCCTTCTCCCTCCTGACGTCCCTGTCATATCGTCCCGATCTCCCCCCATATCCCTCTCGGCTTCTGCTTCTGGAGTACCTTCGCCGACTTCTGCACACAACGACAAGTCAGGTCAACCCACTCCACCAGTACATCGCAGCAGCTCGCACCGGCTCCTGCTCCTCTTGGGGCTTCTGTCTCGGTCTCGACTTCTGCTGCGAGGCTTGTCCACCTTTCGATCACGGCCAAACTCGTCCTTGACGAACACTTCTTGCTTCACCCTGACGCCGTTGGACTTGTGTTGATGCTCCTTCATTGAGTCCAGCTCTTGTTCTCCGTCCATACCCACGATCTCAGCTCGCTTCTCACCCTTGAAATCGACAATGGGCTTGATGTCTTCATCCTCGTCCGACGGCGTATCATGCCGACCTGGTTTGACCTGCTTGTCTTCATCGTCGGATGGGCTGTCATGCCTGTGACCACCCATGGTTGAACGACGAAGGTATCTGTCAACTTATTCTCAGATCAGAACCACCGTCCCCAGGCAACATCAAGTTTGAACAACATCATCTGCGAAGAACGATTTTCTTCCGTAACGATCTACATGCGTAACAAACGCGCTGATGTTTTTGACACTTTGACTCTACTCCCCTTGGCATTCCAGTGCTCCAGCCGCCTCCTCGTTTTCACTACAGTTCATATCACTATCTGGCTGCTCCTGCTTGCTTCCCTCTTCTATTCAGAAAATTGTTTCCACCCTGCTACCCTTCCTCGTTCCTCAAGTTCCCAGGTTGCGGTGATGTAACCATCTACCTCCATAGCTCTTGCCTGCAATCATCCAATATTTTGAACACTCCCAAGACCCTTGCATCATCTATTATCTCATCGCCATATCTTCCTTCTACAGCTCACCTCTACCTCTGCGCTACTACCTGCTCCTCCTCTACTCCAAGTATCTTCTGCATTCTTATGTTCCACTACTCCTCTGCATCTCTGATCTGATGACCAGTTCTTGTACGTCACTGTCCTCCACTCATCTTCTCTCCTCCCCCCCTCATCTTCGTCCTCGTCCTCCTTCTTCCCTTTCCGCCTTTCCCTGCATTACTCGAGCGCCAACTAGCACCCTCATCCCCTCACAGTTCTCAACTGAGGTCAGCGAGCCTGCCTCAGGGCAGCAGGATGCTCAAGAGCGGGGAAGAGGGGCAAATCGCGAAGAGGCGCGGTGGGATGATGGCGCGACGGTATGAGGCGGGGAAAAAGGGGATGCTGGTGGCGGGGGCAATGGCGATGACTCTATGCCTCCTCCTCCTCGTCCTCTCTCCTCGCAGACAGAGCTCTGAGCTCCTAGCATCAAAGCAAGCTTCAGGCAAGCATTCCGGCCTTGGCAAGAAGAACCCCCAGCTCTTGGAGAACGTAATGAAGCAGTCCTACAGCCCGTCAGATGTCAAGCCCCGAGCTCACCAACCCGCGTCTCTGAACGTCCCCTACTTCTCCAAGTTCGTCCATCCTGAGCCCCACTACCGCAAGGGCGGAATGCACTCAGCCGCCATGCACTGGAAGGATGCAAATGGAATCGTGGAAGACAGGAAGGAGAGCAAGAAGCTGATTCAAGCAAAGCAAGCTCAGGTTGTTGTCTGCCAGCTGTTTGAAGTTCTTCGATCGCTCTGACGCAACCGCATACAGGCTCTGTCCACGGAGCTCTCACACACTATGGACGAGTACCTCAAGGATGAGAACCATGGCATTTCTTGGACTGTGCGCAACAGTCAACCACAGTATGCGGAAATGCAGGTTAGTTTTACGCTATCTGCAGTCAGTGTACCGATGATCCTCCTGCAGGCGAAGAAGCGCCAGCACTCTCTCTCCCCTGCTAAGGCAGAGGCACTTGCCAAGGAGCTCACTCAAACCCAGCAGAACTACTTCGACCCTGCTGCTTCTGCCCCCAAGACGCACGAGGTGACATAAGGATGCGTGGACGTGGCAGGTCACTGACAGTGGGAGCAGAAGTTTGTGTCCAAGCAGGCAGGAGAGGCTCTTGCCAAGTCACTCGAGGCTGGTGAGGAGGCAGCGCTGCGACCCCACAAGCTCAACAAGCTGCATCAGGTGATCCATACAGCTCGCTCCTTCCTCTCGGGTCACCTCTTTGCCCTGCCTTGAAGTTCTCTGTCGCTCGGAGCTAACTGATTTACGAATGCTTGTCAAAGCTAACTGATTTATGATTTCAGGCAGTGAAGGTTAACGCCATGGCGGGCAAGAAACTAGCAGCAGAATTGAATGCTGGAGAGGCCGATGCTCTCGCGATTGTTGCCAAGAATGCCATCAATCAAGAGGTGAGCGCGGATCACTGATTTGTGTGGTGGTTTTCCTATTCGCTCCAGCTTCATGTCGTGGTTTTCTTGTTCCCTAAAGGATTTTTTGCGCTCTCCTGTTCCTTCCTGTGCAACATCTTGTTAACTACACGGTTGTAACTTGTCTTTTGTCTCTTGATAGATTGAAGATGAAAGGAGGAAGAACTTGAATCACATTCAGACCTTCAGCAAGGATTTGGGCCCAAGTCTGAGCAGGAAGCAGTCCGAGGAGCTTGTCAAGGACCTCGACACTCCGATGAACGTTGTTAACCACAAGGTTATGCACCCAACCACCCACAAGGTGAAGAGAATGTAGACGAAGTGCCTGGTGTCTTGTTTGAAGCGTTTACTGGTCTTGTCGCTATAGTGATTTTCATATTTGTTGAAAACAAATGCATAAATGATCTGATCGTTTCCGTTTCTAGATGCTCCACTCAACCACACAAGCGAGTGCGAAAGCAGCAGCTACATTGAAGGATGTCAACAACCTCCAGCAGCTACGAAGCATCCCGAGTGCGCATGCAACCTTGAGCAAGGAGCAGGACAAGCGTGTTGCTGCCTATTTGCAAGATGTAGGTTTCGATGCATCGTTCGACTGTCTTTTCACATGTTGGCAGGGTCTGCGGGATGCTCTTCCTTTGAATGTTGCTGTGAAAGAGGGGCTTCGCAAGGCTGTACATCACGTCGACCCCACGCTGAACAAGAAGGATGGAGAGAAGTTGGTACGTGCTCAAGCGCTGTTGCCAAATTTCGTAACGAACTTCATGTAAAGGTCCATGAGGCACAGAAGCTTGAAACGATGGAGTATAAGAACTGGGCCCCTAAACACGCTGCTCCCAAGTTCTTGAAGAAGGACTCTGCCACTCATTTGGCTCAGGTCGAGAATCGCCTTGCTGGAATAGAACCCTCCTTACTTGTCCACGCAGGAGCTCGGACAGAGCCTCAAGATGGAGCAGAGCTCGCAGGGCCCTTACGTCGAGAACTTCATTCACAAGGTAGTAGATGGCTACCGGTGTGGTGGTGTGCGTGTGTGTATCTGTGTAGGTTTGAAGAAAGAGGCTGAGAGATGTGACAGGTCACTGGCAAGGAGGTGCATCCTCTCAAGAAGCGCGTCAGCTCACGGGGGACTGCCGAATGGTACAACAGAGCACTGGTAGCTTCTCCTTGTGAGTAGGGTGAAGCTGAAAGTTTTGGGGCCGCAGGCGAAGAGACTGTCGGAGGGGATCAAGTACTACAAGAGCGTGGAGCAGAAGAGGCAGCGAGAATCTCATGAGAAGCTTCTCAACCCCTCGCAGATCAAAGCACTGGGACAGTTCCTCTCCCCCCCCATCTCTGTTGGCAAGGGCCAGGCTCCTGGGCTGGGATATGCTGTCTAGGGCATGAGTGACAACCGATGTTTGACTGTAGGATAGTGGGTTAGCATGCAAACGATATACACTCGTTACAAGTGTTGTTTTACTTCTTCAAAACCTATCGAGCAGAGTAACGGCCAGGACAAACATAAGCACTACATTTACAAGTATCACAGCTGAGACAGATTATTTGTTCAAGTGTGAAGGCGTCGAGTCACATTCATCATGAATCAGAGTGAAAGTTCCACGAAAAGTCGTCGCAAGTTGCCACCACTTGGAAGTGATTATAATTGTTCGCAACCGCCTCCCACTCTGCCTGATCGAGATCCTCTCGCGTGCTGAGTGTCTGCGATATCTTTCTCGACTTAATCATGGTCACTCCAGGCTTCAGCTTCTCCGTGCGCGGCTTCTTCTTTCCTTCTTCCTTGACCTGACTATCACCTTTCCAAGTCTCAACCTTGACTGGCTGCATGTTCATAGCCTCCTCTACTTTTCCTTCACTTCCTCCAGCATCCTTGTTGCATCGGCTCGCTACCGATATCGGATCTAGCTGCACCAGACCTGGCAGTCCGTCGCTGGCAGCCTCGGGGTACTTGCGCTTGGAAGGAGCCGACTTGCCGTGCTTGACATGGATCCTCTCGTAGTGACGTTTGCTGTGGTAGAGTCGATCGTTGCGGTAGGAGCAGTCGATGCACTGGTACCATCGCTTCTTGCCCTCCACGCATGTGAGGAGACCCTCGTGGCTGCTCCTCGTCCACACGCTCCTCATCATCGGCAACTCACCATTCTCGCCTCCCTCGAGGTCCACAGAGTCGAGGTCTCTGTTTTCCCTCACCTCGCTTCTCTGGTTGAAGTTGGACATTGACAGAGGCTCTCGTACTCCCCGCCGGTCGCTCTTACCCCAAGACGCGCAAGACGGCAACTGCTGCACTCCGTCCTCCAGCGCACTGCCATCCGACGACGAGCATCCCTGCGCTACCTCCTTGCTCGTTGACTCCGTCGAGTTGCTGCAAGTCTGGAGGGCAGCAAAGGGATTCGTGCATGGCAAGTCAACGGCAGGGAACTGATTGAAATCCAAGAACTTGCAGGGGTCTAACAAATGTTCCTCGTAGGGGTGAGCCCAAACCTTGATGCTTCGCTCAGGAGTCAGGAGAAGCGAATCATACTTGATATTGCTCATTTCGTTGCCACTCCACTCAGAAAAACAATCCGACGGCAGACTTGACATGTCAAGATCGTTATCCATTGTGATGCACTGCAAAAGACGTCAACTTTACGTTATGAAAGGATAAAGGCCTGCGCTGAACGCAATTCTCCTGCTTACGTTCTCTCTAAGATACCTCTGCTCTCCTCTCCTCTGAAAATGCATCTGCTACCTCATGTTTTGTCATTTGTTCCGATCCTACTGCTTGTTCGGTACCCTTCGTCTACAATTATCAAGAAACTTGCTAATTCAGTAATCATCCTTCCACCTTGTGACAATTCTCGCACGCCTCTCATAGGTTTTCATGTTTTGTTTCCGTGAAAACGAATCATTCCCGTCTCGATTTCCTCTCCCTCTCTCCCACACTCTGCAATATTCTTACTCCTGCGGTTTGTCTCGGTCCAAGACAACCTCATGTTCTTATATACAACTTTCGTCTCCTTCTGGCCATCATGTTCTCTGACGCATTCTTCTTCGCCTCCTCCGCCCCTCATCTCCCCCCGCCTCCTTCCTTTCCTCTCTCCACATCTTCCCGTCCTCCCTGAAGCGTCTGCCTCACCTGCCCTGCCATGGTGTGTGAGTCACAAATTTTCATCAGAGGCAGAAAATTTCCAAAGGTACTCATTCAAATTCAAATTTTGGTACCATATGAGGATATTGAGTATTTTATAATCTGTATATTTTATGAGGGAAGGGTGGGTCTTTTGCCATCATTCCAGCAAACTTACCCTACAAGTGAATGGCCTGACCACCCCCTCCGGGAATCCGAAGACCAGCGTTTATGAAGGAAATAATAAGTTTTATGTTTTTTTTCCTGAGTGTCTCCAACCAGTACAAAATATAATGATATATAATATTGGCACTTTTATTGTACCAAAGGTTCCCGGTAATCGATCTTTATATATAGTTTTATATAATGGTATTAGAAATTGTACCAGTTCAGTCTCTATCTGATGCAGCTTACAGTACATCTCTTTAATAGTGATTATTAAACTTTACCCAAAAACTTGGAATGTCAAACGAAACAAGTTCGTGGCTCTGAATCTGAAAGAAATAAACGCTTGTATTTTCAATATTCAATGTGTCATTTTAAAACTCTCAACGAAGCTGGTTCGTAGTTGAAAACAGGCCCGCCCAGGCTCGTCCCGGTGGGATCAGGTGTGGGATCCGGTAGGGAACATGGCGAACTAAGAGGAGGGGGAGAAGAAGACTCGTGGATGAACTTGACAAGAATACTGAGCAGCTTGAGTTTGCTTGCTTCTGTCCTGGTGTTGTGGAGTGAAAGAGCTGCGGGATATGCTGCATGTGTGACGGGAGGAGGAGGTTTCCTGGGTCAGGAGCTGATTGCTCAGCTATGCGCACAGGGCCACGAGGTTGTTCGACTCGCCTCCTCGTATGTTGCTGAATGTTCGCAAGGTTGTCACGACTGTAAGAGCTCGGCCGTCAGCTGCCTTACCAGCCATGGATGGTGTGAGAGTAGTGCGTGGGTGTGAGCTCTTGGAGGAAGGAAGCTTCGATGAAGCCTTCGAAGGAGTGCAAGTCGTGTTTCACGCTGCCTCTCCGTTCCCCGTGTCTCTCCAACAAGCCAGTCAGAAGCAGCAAGTAGTCAGCACTTGCATTGAAGGCACCTTGAACGTGTCCGGCTGCTCTGAATCAATGGCGGCATGACTAGCAGGCACAGGTAATGGCGAGCGCGAGAAGAGCCGGAGTGAGGCGGGTGGTCTTGACTTCCTCTGTCGCCGCTCTGAGAGGAAGTGGACAGAAACCTCGCAATGGGGTGGGGCGTGCGAGCGATATCTGGGGCTGTGCGCTGACCCTGACGGCAGGAATTCTTCACTTCGGATGATTGGAACACAGTGAGCACGAAAGACGGGCCCGGCATGGAAGCCTACCAGTACGGAAAGACTCAGTCAGAGAAGGTCCTTCCTCCTCCTCCTCCTCTTCCTCCTCTGCCTCAATTCCGCCTCTTCGTTCTCGCTTCCCCCGATATTTTGTCGACCCTCACCCTCCAGTAGGAAGCCTTGCAGTTTGGACGGGAGCATGGAATTGAAGTAGTTTCCATTCTTCCAACGTTTCTCCTCGGTCCTCCTCGGTCCTCAGGCGTCAAGAGTGCGTCCTTGCAGCAAGTTCGCCGATGGCTGAGAGGGGAGGGCAAGGCAAGCAGCGGCCGCCGTCTCCTTCCCTCATGCTGCGAGCAGGTGCAGACGAGGCTGATCTGTGACGTGCGAGACGCTGCTCGGGCTCATCTCGCTGCTGCTGAGATGCCGGGAGAAGCGTTGAGCGAGTCCAGGTGAACGAGGAGCGTCCGAGAGTTTCGCAGGAGGGTGAGCATGGCTCGCAGGCGCTTCATCGTTGGGCAGGAGCGTCGAACAAGCGCGGAAGGTCAGCAGGAGGAGGTAGGGGGCCTGACTGACGTGCTACCAAAGAGCTGCGAGAGCTTCTGATTCGAGGATGCTTGGACATGTCCCTTCCTGCTCCTGTCAGCCCTGCTGATGACTGGATCTTCTCTGAGGTCTGCTCCTCCTCCCGTCCCACAGCCGGATGTCCTCGCTGACCCTGCTGCAGGACCTCAAAGGCGACAAGGAGGTAGAAACTTCTGCTTCCCTACGAGCCCTCGGGATTGGTTCGGGAGCAGAACACCTGCTTCCTGTCGCACAGACCGTTGGTGATATGCTGAAGGTTTTGTTACAAGAGACGGCGAGCTGAAGAGGACATGACTTGCTGCTCTTGACTGTTCCCTCCTAGGAAGAACTCTTGTTCCCCTGCTCCCTCCCTCCTGCTCATCCCAACCTCTAACTACCCGCAGACATTCCACGTGAGATTTTGAAATTTATAACATCGCCAAGGAGAGGCAGCGAGTGGGAGGGGAGGGAGGGAAGAGGTCTCAGGGCGTATCAAGCTTTCTTTTCTGATGCGTCCGTCATGGTTGCTCCTTCCCTTCACCCGCTTCTCGGGCGTATCCCGTCAGGGCGGCCTAGTCAGAGCTCTCCCGCTCCTCCTTCTTCTCCTGCTCTTTGCTCTCATCCGGATCCCTCTTGATCCTGAGAGCTCCCCACACTCCGGTACCTGCACCAGCATGAGGAGCAACCCAGCTGCCTGCGCCTCTCACCTCGCAGCTCCTCGCCCTGACGCAGCACATAGAATCTGAATGCGTCGAAGGCGGTTTTGATGGATCAGTAAATCACCATCCTCGAGCCCGACACGCCGTTGAGCCGCACAGAGCGAGAGCGGCGGGAGAGGACTGACGACTGGCCAGCAGCCTGCCATCGCGTCACTTGATGACCACGCACAGTCCTGGTCCTCGTGTCCTCACCATGCCGTGGAAAGAAGAAGCTCTGCAAGCATGCACAGCCTTGACGCTCATCGATCTAGCGAGAGCGGGAGATGAAGCGAAGGAGGCGACCAGCCCCGAGTTTACAACGATGGAAAGCAGCGACGCTGCAAGCGCCCGACGGATCTTCATGGTTCTATCATGTAAGGTCAGGTAAGCTCCGGTCTTCCCCAGATACTCGTGTTCGTTTTCCCCTTCTTGCACTTGAACCTCCTCCTCCTCCTCCTCCTCTTCATTCTCCTCTTCTTGTTCTGACGTCTCGCTGCTCTGCTTCACCTGCTTCGCCGTGTGGCCCTCTGCTCCCCGTCCTCTTAGTCATCATTGATATCCGTTCTTGCTCGACTCTCCTGCCCCTCCTGCTCCTGCCCCTCCTGCTCCTGCCCCTCCTGCTCCTGCTCCTCCTGCCCCTGCCCCTCCTGCTCCTGCCCCTCCTGCTCCTGCCCCTCCTCCTACTGTCGATCATGCTCTGCCTGCCTTGCTCTCCCTCCCCTCCCTCGCTTCTCCTTATATCTCACACCTCCGCCTCAGAGTCGGGAGACGGCGAAACCAGACGCGAGTAGGAAGACGAAAGCGAGGGAGAGGGAAGGAGAAAGGAGAGGAGAGGAGAGCAGAGGAGAGGAGAGGAGAGGAGAGGAGAGGAGAGGAGCGCAGAGCAGAGCAGAGCAGAGCAGAGCAGAGCAGAGCAGAGCAGAGCAGAGCAGAGCAGAGCG